GGATTGCCTGCTGGAGAATATACCGTCCCACCTACTGCTCACTCCTGCGGAGGGCTCTGTTTCAAGGGCGGGGAGGGGGGTGCAAAGCGGCCCTGCCCTTCTAGGTGACGCCCTACCCGGTTACACCAGAGGCCCTGGCGGCCCAGGACAGTTCCTGGCTCAGGAGCTCCCTCCACCCAATCCACCCCGGCCGGAGCCCTACCTACCCCGCCCCTTCCACCTCCAACCCAGGGTCCGCTCCTCCATCCTCCCCGCCCCGAGAACAGGCCCCCTCATTTCTCCCGCACTTCTGGAAGGAACCGAGGTGCCGGGGCCAGACCGACAGGTCCTGAGGGTCCTTCCGAGGGGAGCCTCCCTGCCGCGGCTTTCCCGGCGTCAGTCTTGCGGAAGCCGCGGGTGCCGGGCCGGGAGCCAGCAGTGCGCAGCCCACCCGGCAGGTGGCGGCGTCTCCCGGCGCCCCGCCCCCCTCGCGGGCCCCCCGGCCCGCTCGCGCCTGCCCTTGACCGCAGCGGGACAGCGCCCCGCCCAAACCCCCGGCTCGCCCAAGTGCCCGGGGCGGAGAGCAGCGCGGGAGGGGCGCGGGCAGCTCCACGAGCCGGGGGGCGACACGCCGGCCCCCGAGACCCGCCAACGCGGCCCCCGAGGGTGCGGCGAGCCCGGGCAGGAGCGGAGCGGCAGGGCAGGGAGGCGCCGCGGGGGCTGGAGGGCAGGACCGGTGGGGCAGGGCGGCCGCCTCGGGGAGGCCGGCCCGGCCCATCCGGGCCGCTCCCCTCCGCCCGGAACGGCGGCGGACCGGGCGCCCGAGGGCGCCCGCGGGCCAGGGCTGCATGGGGCTCCTGCGCGGCCAGCTCTTCTGGCTTCTGCTCCTGCTCGCGGCTGCCTCCTCGGGGATTCTCTTCACTCTGTACTCCTCGGCAGTGGGGCCGTACCCGGGGCCCCGGTCTGGAGCCAGGTAGGGGCTGCGGCGCGGTCCGACCAGGGGGTGGCTCAGGGGACGCGCGGGGCGCCTAGCCCGGGCCCCTCCGTCCACCCGCCGCGTTGGTCTCCCTGGGGTGGCTCGCAGCAGGGACTCGGGCCTTGGCCCTTTGTCCCCAGAGCCTCCACCCGGGCGACCAACCTGCGCTGCCCGGGCCACAGCCTCTGCGGGAGTCCGAGAGGGACCTCGTCCCTTGCGCACCGGCCACTCGCTCCCCAAAGCCTTGTGGGTTCATTCCCTCTGGCCGTGATTCGAAACACTTTTTCTATTGTCCAGATTTGGCTGGGTCGTCTGAGTCAGATAAAAACAGCCCCGTTTTTATCAGGAACGCTCCCTCCCTAACGTCACATTTCTCTGACTCTACTTTTGGGGGAGGGACCCGAGACTCCCTGTTCCAACTTTGCCGGGATCCTCGGCTCGACTGCGGCGGGTCGCCTTTCCAGCTCGCTCGGTCTGCGCCCTCCCTGCGCCCTCCCCGCGCCCGGCGCCCCGCTCTTGCCCACGCGCTGTTTGCTCTGTTTATTTGGATAAAGCGCCATCTGGGCGCGATCCCGCTAAGCGGCGGACTCCCCCCGGGAACAGGGGCAGATCCTGGGCTTCATCCAAGTTCCCCTTCTCGAGCCTACTCCGGGCTCCCCTCCCTCCCGCTCGCCCAGCGCACCTTCCTTGCATTTGTGCTCCGCGAGGATAAACCTACGAGCCTGTGTTTGGGAGGTGATGGTGCCAGTTACTGAGGAAGCCTCCAAAGAATTTAGTTTTCCGTCGGGGAGGCGGATCGAGCTGTGCGGGAGTCTGGATTTGGGAGGCCGCGAGGGCCCCCACAGGCTCGCCCACCGGCCTCGGGGCCGCGCTCTTCGTTCACAGCACTTTCCCACCTGCGCGCCCCTCACCAAACCTTGCTCCAGGCATAACGGGATGAAAGGAAAGTTAGTTACCTCTTCTCGGGGGGGGGGGGGGGGAACGTGGTCATAAGGCATCTAAAGGTACAAAACAATACGAAACACCTGCAACTCATTATGAGCCCAGTCCCTCTAGAACAAAGGGTGTTCTAGCCGCTGGTACGTGGAATTACTTCATCCCCTTGTAGTCAGAAATTGCGTGAGGTGAGCGACTGAAAGTTTGAGGGTGTTAAGAAAGAGAGTCCTTTGTGAATTTTATGTAAAGCTGTTTTGAAACACATTTCAACATCCTTTGAAAGTATCTAATAAACTTTAAATATGAGGTTGTTGAACATCCATTATGTCTCAACAAAGCTTTTAAAGGTCTTTCATCTTTTAAAAAAGCTAGTACAAGCCAAGAACTTGTCCGTTTTCTTGCTGTTCCCCTAATGTTTGCGATGTAGCTGAACCCAGGGGGTTGGCTGGGAGGGCCTCACTGTAGGAGGTGGGTGTTTAGTGCCCGGGGAGGTGGGTGTTTAGTGCCCGGAGAGGTGGAAAACTGGACTGTCTGGAGCAACTGGGAGCAGGCTGTGTGACCGCCCCCCACCACCCCCCACCTGGGGTGGGAAAGCAGATGGCCTGGCTACCTGGAGAGCCCCCGGGAGGGATGAGGGGTGCGGTGTTGGGACCTGGTCTTAACCGCACCTGAGGGCTCTCATTGCAGGCTAGAGAATGGAACCCAGCCCAGGAATTTACCCATGGCAGAAGAATCTGGGTCAGGAGTTTCCAGGCATTGGGATATCTAGACTTGTAAAAATAAATAAATAAATCTTTTTTACTGGTGGGGGAGGGGGCAGTGGTGAGGATAGATATAGGCTACCAGTTAGCTGCCAGTATCTGTTGTCAACATTATTTTGTAAAAGAAAGAACATCCGAAGTCCCAGAATTCCTAAGCATAGGATCGAAATTGAGTAGATTTCTTTTTTTTTTTAAGATTTTATTTACTTATTTGAGAGAATGAGATAGAGCACGAGAGGGGAGGGTCAGAGGGAGGAGCAGACTCCCCGCTGAGCAGGGAGCCTGATGCGGGACTCGATCCCGGGACTCCAGGATCATGACCTGAGCTGAAGGCAGTCGCTTAACGAACTGAGCCACCCAGGCTCCCGAGTAGATTTCTTTTTATGAGAAATGGCGCCGTGGTGGTACCTCCTTACCTGCAGTTTGGCTTTCCCTGGTTTCAGTCACCCCCAGTCATGCCAGGTCTGGGAGCAGATCAGCCTCCTCCTGACATAGAGGCAGAGGTCAGTAGGAGCCTAATGGTAGTCAACAATGTGGTCACCACTCCCCCCCACCCCGTCTCTTCACCTGGCCTATTTTGTCATCTCCCACTGTCACAAGAAGGGTGGTATTTACCGAGTAAGATATTTACAGAGACCACACTCACGTTATATTGTTACGATCGTCCTATTTTATTATCAGTTATGGTTGTTAATCTCTTACTGTGCCTCATTTATAAATTAAACTTTATCATTCGTATGTATGTAGAGGAAAAAACATAGCCTGTGCAGGGTTCGGTACTATCCACAGTTTCATCCACTGCGGGGCTTGGAGCTTACCCAAGGGGAGGGGAGGTCTACTGTACAAGGTCTTTATTTCTCCTCAGGCCGGTGAAACTTCTGGGAGGGGCATAGATGGGCTGGCTCCCTTGCCCGCCCCTTCCAGGCTCTCCAGGCAGGTGTGTCTAGAAGCCCTGGGATTCCCAAGGAGGGCTGGGAGAAGTCACTGAGCACGGAGGGGTGCTCTGGAGATGAGCAGGCCTCCCTGAGGCTGGGGTGTTCAGGACAGCAAAACAGAGCTGGGGCGGGGGGGCTCTCTAGCCCCTCCCCTGCAACTCTATCCCTCCGGTCTCCAAGCGGCCCTGGCCAGCAGCTCCCTCATCCGGTTCTCAAACCTGGCTCACGCTAGAATCACCTGGGGAGGAGGCCTAGACCAGTCAGACCAGAACTACAGGGGTGAGGCCCTGGGCGCAAGGTGTTTTTCAAAAGCTCCCTGGGGATTCTCCCCGGCCCTGAGGCTGAGTACTGGGGTCCCAGTTCCTCTTCAAAGGGGGTCCTGTTACGCTGAGGAGAGGAACTATAGGATGGTGGTGGTGGGGGGGGACAGGTGGCCATCCGAGGGGGAAAGAGGGATGGGGGAAGGAATCATCCCTGCTCTTCCCCGGCCACCCCTGCAGGTCCTCTGGAAACTTGAAGTGAGGCAGGTCGCATGCTCCCTTGTGGCCCAACTGGCTCAGCACGTCAGAAGCAAAAAAAAAAAAAAAAAAAAAAG